TTCGTTTCGCCGCATTATTTACTTCCTTTTGCGCCACATCCTTCCGCTTCCAGCGTCGTCGTCGTCGCAATTGCTCCAGTTTTTATGGCAACAAGAGCAGCGTTTATGGCCAAGAGCGATCGAAAAAACGTCGATGATGGTGGTCAGCCGATGTTGGAGGGAAACTTTCGCCGCAACAATGTTTCACCACTTACGCATATTTCTATTGCGCTGCTGAAAATACTCGTTGAAATAGAAAACAAACAAATAAACGTCGCAGTGCATCGAGTCCCTGGACGGGTTTTGCTTATGTAACTGCCGTGATTACGACGATGGCCAACGATGGCCACCGATGGCCAACGGCCAATGGCCAATGGCTCCTCCTGATGAGCTTGGTTCAATGGCTCCATGGCAACGCACATTCCGAAAGTGATTTTGATTTCGATTTCGTTCGATTTCGTTCGATTTGCTTGCATCAGAGGCGAAACAGCAACAGATACTGCCACAACCGACATCGGCGAAACGAGTTCAATTGGCGAAAACCACTTTGGGCCGCCCGTTTTCTGCTGCTGCTATATTTCCTGGCCATGGACAATCCACTCTACCATTTCTACTCTAGCGGCGCTATGGGAAAAAACTAGATTTTCCACCTAAGCGAGGCCAGGGCAAGCGGAAAACGCATTCCCAACCAAAGCGTGAGTTTCCCAGAGCTGTCTTCGTCCATGTCGTCGTCGTCGCATGTTGCTCTAATTGCATGACAAACTCTCGGCCAACTTTCACACACTTTTGGCGTTATCTCCGGAGGTAAAACTGCAGCTTTGGCTTAAAACTGCTTGGCCTGGCCATAAATGTCACATATCAAAAGGAAAAGTGAAATTTTCGTTGTTACGGCTAAAATGCAGGCTGCGGAAGTTGTTAAACTGATGCGATCACACCATGGGTATTTTCCTTAATTTAATAGTTTAGAATTTCTCTAAACTTTTAGTAACCCTTAGAGGATATTATTAGTATGTATTTGAAAATACCCTTAAGCCTACTTAATTTAAAGCGGAAGAATTTAGAAATGTGGGAAATGTTAGGAAGGAACTCTTCCCCTAACATATTTTGACAACTTCCGACTGCCTTTTGGTTTAGATTTCAGTAATTACTAGATGTTTCGAGCATATTTAAAACAAACCAGAGACAGACACAGACCGAAATTCCTCAAGACATATTTTAATGTAATTAAATTTAAACGTCTGCATCCCGTTAATGTGCCAGAATAACAATAGAGAAAAGGAATGAAGGCGGAGCATGCCGCAGACAGGCAAATCTAATAAGCATAATGAATGAACCGCAGAACGGAGCAGCTGAGTGGCTGTTTTCGCTCAGCGTGTTGAACTTGTGCTGTCACCTGTGAAGGCAATGATGAGCAGCCCCTGGCTTCCATTTCCCTAGATATATATTTTTTTTTCTAGCTCCCACTGGGGGTTGTGACCATGGCCGCTGGCATGTGGCATGTGGCAAATGTCTTGCAATCCACACCCCAGACACTGAGAACCTGCTCTGTTCTGTTCTGCTGTCGTTTGCTGTTTTGTTTAATTAATTTCTATATTAGATACACTTCATTAAAAATGCCTAGGATAGAATATACGAGTATGTGTGTGTGCGTTTTTGTTCTATTGTTGTGGGTTATTTTTGGCAATCGAAAGGAATTTGGTGATTGAGCAGGGCAAATGTGGCTCGAATGAGATCTGTGCCAGAGATATACATATACTCGTACAGATTTGCAGGCCTAATGGCTTGTAAGAGATCTACGGTGTGCATAATTCACTAAATGTGTCCGGAAACCAAAAACACCTCCAAGTCAAAGCCCATTCCCATTGCACCTGTCCAGATGATGTCAACCACTCCATCATCTAGCCATCCTCCTCCAGTCATCCAGTTCTGGCTGTGTCGGAGCAATTAACGCACTCTGAGCCCAGCTGAGCCTGAGCTGAGCCCAGGGCCAAGAGGCGTTGTTGAATTGGGTCAAGAGGGGCTAAGCAAAGTGCCGCTCTGAAGTTCGGGGGATATGCATTTAGTCGTCGCCGGCATAATGAAATGCATTTCAGCCCTCATTAGGCATGCCATTTCATGAAGCTGCACCTCCTGAGCGGATTTCAGCCCTCGAGTGGGTGAGTGAGAGTGCCATTCAAGAGCAGCAAGGGAGGGGCTTTAATTGGCCCAAAAAGGTGGCAATAATTGAGTCAATCGAAGTGGGAAACCAAGCGAAACCCAATAGTTTTCCAGATAGCAATCTTAGAAATGCTATTGTTAGAGCTTTAAAAGCTAAGTGAATCCAGCTAAAAACTCTTCCAACTCTTCCTTCCTCATTTATGAAGTAATTTAAATAACTAAGCCTCAAGTTTATTGAAGTTTTTATGATAAATTTAATACTGCATAACTGCTAATGTCTATGCAAATACACCGTTTCTGCTAAAACTAAAAAATGATTTAAGAAGCCACCTTCCTTATTCACTTTTCCATGTTTTCCCCACTTTGTTTTTGCATACAATTAAAGGGTTTTTGTGCCGGCAATGTTACTACCACTTAATGCAACTTTGATGTTTTTCTGGCCACGCACCAAAGTAGAAGTTTTCACCTGCTGCTGTGGATTTTTCGGCAGCAGCAGTAGCACCACCAACGAAGTAAATAAAAACTTGTGCGGTTAAAGTTTTTCAGCCTTTTGTTTTTTGGGCTTGCAGTAACTGCAGGAACCCGCCACCATCTACAGAACCCCGCAAAATGGACTTCTCATTCGTGTGGCATTTTTTGGCACTTGCCACAATGGCCACGTTCCGCTCTCACACTCGCAGACACTGGCGCATTCCGTGGGCTCTTTGCTCCTCGCTTCTCGCTCCTCGATCTCGGAATTCTCGGAGACCACTCTTCCATATCATGGCTGTCCTGGGGGGGGCGTGGCTGCCACGGCTTTTTGGCACCGACAACTTTGCTTTGTCATGTGTGATATATTTCTTTCTCGCCCGGCAACTGTGCTGCGGTGGCAAAGTATCTTTTGTTTAAGAACCGCCAGTGCGGCACTCGTCAAGGAAACTCGATTTTCTCATATTTGATTTCATCAACCTAATCATTTTTACCCATGAAAGCGAAGCCTTTATTGTAGAAAATACATATATTTTGGAAAGAATATTACTAACAACCATCTAAAAGGTTCATAAATTCAAGCAAACAAGCCAGCGTGTATTAAATTTATTTTATCTTAGTAAGAAATGTTTTGTACTGAAAAAAAGGGTAGATAAACCGCTAAAAGTCGTTATATACTACTGTTAAACTATATTTAAATGAAAAGTTGCCACTTGGTTGGGTTAAAGTAACTAAAAGTGTGAGTTGCCACCTATGTGACAACTGTCTTTCGAAATTGATTGCAATTGTCAAAAACTGTCAAACAGTATTGCCCTTTCAAACCGATAATTAGTTTAAAGAAACCCTGTCACGAACTCTAATCGCAGTAGACTTTCAAATTGCCAGAAAAAATATGACATTTGATTTTGGGACTGTCAAAGCTGGAAGCATAATTTTCATTCGTCTGTGAGACGTCTTACCGTAAAGTACACCTATCTTAAACAAACCCACAACAATTACATACAAGGAAAAAAACAAAAAAAAAAAATTTGTAAACTTCCAATAGAAAACTTGTGTTGCGTTCTGGTTATACCGTGTTAACTTTTACCGTGTTAGCTTATACCGCGTTTGTATACCGAGTTTTTTCCCCCCGATTGCCGTGTTATTGAAAATTTATTGTTGCTACGACACCGGCTTTTGATCGATTTGAACAATCTCGCAGTCTCTCCAAGTTTACATACGTTTCGCATCAGTTTTTTGAGAATTTTACGGCCGTAATATGAATAACTTGAATGCCAATGCCAGTGCCTTTATGTGGCACAATCCTTCGTCGCTGCAGACCCAGGCAGCGGTCCAGCAGCAGCAGCAGCAGCAACAGCAACAGCCAGTGCAACAGCAGCAGCAGCAAGCCGTGCAGCAGCAGCAGCAGCAGGCCGTGCAGCAGCAGTCGGTGGTGCAGCATGTGGCCACGGGGCAGCTGCTCCACGTGCCCGCCATGCCGCAGCAGCGCAAGTTTGGCAACAAGAGCAACTACAATTACGTGCAGAGCCAGGCGGGCGCCATGATGAGTCCCGGCACTCCCGGCGCCGGCGGAGGTAGTCCCATGGGCTCCTTTGGCAGCTCCCCTGGCCTGTATCGCAAGCGCTTTCCGATCAATGCATACAACACAGGCTGCTATCAGACCAATGGTAAGCACTAGCGATGGCTTCTTAGGTCGAAAGTATCGCATTTTTCTGTAGAAAATGTTCGTGGGGGAAAAACAAAATGGCTGCTGCCAATTTTCTTTTCTTCCTTGACATTTTGCAACAACAAAAACTCAAGAGTTGCCTAGGCCAATGTTTGTTTTGGTAGCTGCAACTCTAGTTGAAAATTTCTAGTTTAGAAAATTAGCTTTCTTCGCCTTAAATCGTAATTTTAACATTACAGAAAAGTAATAAGAATAGTCATGGATTTTATGCGATGGTTCTCTAGTCATTTTCTTATGCAATTTGAATATTTCTTTCTTTTATTTTTTGATATTTTATTGCCAATGTTATAAAATTGCATCCTTTTTGCAAGATGACTCTGCAAAATGAAGTGTCGCCTAGCAACAGCAACAGTGTTGTTAAGCTCTTTGTCAACACTATAACAGAGTCGTTACAGCTACAGTGTTGTACAATTGAAAGCTATAAAGTCAACATAAACCCCATAATATCCTTAATCCTGTTACCCAACCCCTTTGCAACATTTGTCGCTAAACGCTGTTCAACACAGATGAATTATTCAAATTGAATTCTTGTACCACTCACTCACTGTTCGAATTGTTAAATACTATATATATCTATATATATTTATATATATATACTTTTTTTTTTGTGCCGTCTATTTAACGATTGCACAAATCATTAACCTTGTTTATTTTCCTTTTGTCTTTTCAGGTAAGTCGCTGTTTTCTATACCCGAAAATGTTGTTATGCTTGAGAGCCGTAAGTACATTTGAAACTAGAGCACATTTCAAACACGAGCACACACCACACTTATACCTCACACACACCACACTTATACCTCACACACACCCTCACTTACACTCGTGCAAACAAACCGAGCAAACAAATACACACGTACATCAACATTTGCAGATCGAATCAATCATACGTCCTGGGGGCCTCACTGAGTGGGAGTTTTTGTGATGAAATGTAAACGGCGAAATTAATTTCCCATTGAAATGGCAAGAGAGGAGGGAGCTGGTTCAGGGGGTACAAAGTTCAATTACAAAATAAAACAATGCATCTGGGCAAAAATGCAAAGATCAAAAGATGCTAGCGCCAAAAACAAAAAAAAATGTAAATTTGCATCTCTATGCGAAATTTATTTTCTGCCATTAATCAATTTCGCTGCTGCTGTTCCGTTCCGTTCGATTCGGTGCGGTGCGGTTCGATTTGGTTCTTATTTCAAGTTTCCTGGCCAGCGAAATGCAATTTACATTTTTATATATATATATATTTTTTTATTTTGTCTTCCATGAATTTTCAATTGCATTTCCTTGGCGCTTTTCTTTGTTTATATCTGAGCTCCATTAACATTTCTATAACGATGACGCTGCGTCGTCGTCCAAGATTTTCACGTTTCTCCTTTGGCAGTCGTTTAGGTTTTTCCTTATTTTTCCGTTGGTTGCGAGAACTATTTGCATAATTTTCAATGTCTGTAATTTTCATTCAAAACGTCCGATGATGTTGGCTTTATACATTTATCCTTTGAATTCATATATAGCCTTTAAAAAGGGTCTAAAGGTAGCATATCTCTGAATATATATAGGTTATCAGAATACTTTTCCTACTTTATTTTATATCCCAGATAATTGTAGTATTTAAAATGCTTTTAGTCCATTGATGTTATGGCTCATTTTCTTAATCGTCCAACGCCTCCTCCACCATCTTAAAAATATGAATATTTGTTCGGCCAAGCCATACAAATTTGCACCATAATTAAAATAAATGCTTTCAATGGCCAATAATTGCCAAATAAATTAATTTTAATTGCAAGCCAGCGGGTGGCAAGACGGCACAAAAACGGCTAAAAATATATTTCAAAGTGGCCAAATTTAAAGTCGTATAGAGAAAGTAAAGCGGTGGTCCGTTTGCTCTCGCATTTTCCGTATTTTCCTCTCTCTCTCTCTTTCTCTTCGGCATTTTATTTTTAAAAACGTTCCGCTTTTGAGGCTGCCCAATGCGAGCGGTGCCACGCCCACTGTTCGCGGCAGATGTCGCTTATTTGCAGGTGGGATGCCAAAGCCAAAGCCAAAGACGATGGCAAAACACTTAAAAATACATAAAAATACCAATGGTGGGAAAATGGAATGGGGATGTGTGTGCGTTTTCGTGACATATTTATGGTGACTGTGCTACCCAAGATTGTTTTCCATGGGATCAGCGGCCGAGTCACTCGAAGATTTATGTGGGCGTTCATTAAACGCAACGCACACATCCGTCCTGGCCGCCGCCGCCAATCACTTAGTTAATATGGCAAATGCCTTTGAATATTTGCATCTGCAGGGAGAAGACTTTCAGGGTTGCTGCCTGGGCAAACTTGACTTGTTTGTGTTTACTCGCAGTATCTCTCAGCTGCTGTTCCCCGTGTGTTGTCCCAAAAATAATATACTTCCATCCTCATATCCTCCTTATAGTGGCTTAATTTTCTGGCAGAGTGGGTGGCGTTTTATTTGCCTTTTGGGTCTGATTGTTGTGGCTTACTTTCGCTGATTGACAGCGCATTTCCAACGCTCTGTGTGTGTTTGCCTCTGTCTTGGCCAATATTTACTTGCCTAATGCAGTTCTCCTCGTAATTGCGGCTTAGTAATTGCTTTGCTGCTGCGGCAGCCGAAAATTAATTAAATTAATTTCCGTACTATTTCTCACGGAAATATTATATGGCAAATACACATAAAAACCTTTTCGTGTTGCTGTTTTTGGGACTGTCAGGCCGTAAATCTTGTGGTTTCAACCCAACCCTTAACTCGACCAAAAAAAGAGACATCTTCCCACAATAAATTCATAGTGAAATCCAATAATTTCGCTTGGAGGGGCAGAGATGTGGCTCATGATGATCATCATCATGTACAACAATAACCGGCAACCGCAGGCCGCCTGTCCAAAAATATAAATTGTGTGTTGCTCGCATTTTATGGTAATTCAATAAATTGAAAATGACAAATTGTGTCATGTTGCGGTCACTGGATTGGCAGACCAGAAAAGCCTCCAAAAAAACCCCTTGCGGCGTAGGGAATGCTGGGGATAATTAAATCTATGTTGGGCATCAATAAAAGTTGCAAATGGTTTTTAAAGTCGCTGCCAGGACGAAGCGCCAACGGCTGCAGCACTCTCTCTATCTCTGTTTCTCTCTCTGTGCACGGCACATCAATCAATCAAGGACGATCAATCAAATCGTTGTCAACAGCGGCGCACGCAGCTAACGATGAGTTCGATGTTGCCGCTGGCTGCTGTCGCTAGATGGCGTGTCGAACAAGAACAATGTCGTCGCCGGGTGAACTTTCCTCCACCCTCGAAAACATCCTGCCAAGGAGCCACTAGCCCCCCCTAACGAGCGCTAATGGACACCAGTCCTGGCTGCTTCCGCCAGGAAACTATTGAGCCGAAATTGCAAAGGAGGATATGGTAACTTTGCCACTCCACGCAATATTGCGTCGATTATCTTCAATCAAAAGCTAGTGATTGATGACTGCGACGACTGGCTGGACGGCCGGCTATATCCGGTGGCGTGTGGTATGGGGTATTTTAAATTTCCCTCCGCCGAACTGAACCGCCTTAATGCCGGCCATTCATCAGCGTTGTCGGTATTAAACCCAAAAGCTTTATTATTTGCCATTTTGATTACTCTCGCAATTGATTCATTCGAAGGTAGGACAGGTTTGAAGCTCGTTTTTATTGCCATTTATGGGAGTACATTTGCATTTAAATTATGCTATATACTATAAAAAAGTTTCCTCCGCTTAAAATATATAGCTAATTTTCTTTCTTATGAACCATGAAGACGGCATTTGCTTAATTTATGCAGGACGCGGCGGCTGCTGCTGCTACTTTCCCCCACTTTTTTTTTTGTTGCCGCCGTAATAATTTGTAATTAATTTAGCAGCTGGCCCAACACGAGCTTCAGCAAGCACAAAATAATATTAAAAAAAAAGTAAAGTGGCAGCAACTTTTGGTGTAATTTTCCAAAGCAATTAATTGGACATTTTGCTAATGCGTTTGCCACTTGCACTTTTTTTTGTCCTCTATCCATCTTTCGCTTAGTGAAAGAATCGTGCAATTTGCCAAATTACAATATCTAAAATGTCCCCCAGCTGCACATCGCATATAGCACATAGCACATAGCACTTTGCCATGGCTCCATGGCTCTATTGGCTCTTTTTCCTTATTGTTTGTTATATTTTTATGGCATTATCGATTTTCGCTTTTCCACTGCTGATACCTTTTTTTTTTTTTTTTTGGGGCGGAGGGAGGGAAAACTAAACTTTATCAAAGCAAAAACTAAGTAACGTAAACGAATTTGTTATTAGAGAGAGCGTTGCTGCGCAATTCAAAGTCTGGGGGGGGGATAGTTTGGTTTTTGGGTATGAAATATCATAAATGCAGGGTCATATATTTACACATCGAGGAGAGCAGCGATTAGCGAGCTCCATTAACTAGAAAAACGCTTCAAAACGTCGCCTGCAACCGCCACCCACAGAGTCAATACATCAACCACAACAAACAAGCGACCACGGGAGGGAGGGTAGAAGGTGGAGGTGATAGCCAATGCGAGGTATGAGCTTGGCCAATAAAGTTTTCCAAAGTGTAGTAGTGCTCCTTCAAGCCAGCTTATGTCACATTGAGTATCCTCGGCTCTTGAAATGTCATTGAATGTATTTTAATACCCATTCCTTGGGGCAGAAAGGGTGTGCCAAGTCGGGAATCGAAAGGTATAGGAATTTTTCTAAGCTTACTTTTCCAAGAAACTTACTGGGTATTTCATAGTCTTAATCCTTTCCCCCGTGAACTTCCCACTCTTGACCGAATAGAGTTATTCGAGGGGGTCTAAAAACTCAAGAGAGCTCATGGCCAAGAACTCTCCAGCCGATAAGTGGGCGGATGAGTGGGTGTGACAGTGCGGACACTGATTGCACATGTGTTTGCATGCCATTAAAGCAACGGGGGAGGCCCCAATGTTTACCAATGCGATAATTAGGCGAAGCCCAGGCCAAGAGAGGCCAAAAGCAAAGGCCAAACTAAAGGCCAAGCCGTGCCAATTTGCCATGTACACACACGGGTGGGTTGTGTTGTGTGTGGGTGTGTGCTTCTGGCCTGTGTGTGATTATGAATTATATTATAAATCCCCACAAGCGTGGTCGCTATCGCTCCTGTGAAAACCCACCCAACTTGAATGCCATTTGGCGCTTCTAATTATGTTATCCTCGAATGTCCTTGCTTTTGTGTATTTGCTTGCGTTTCGTTGTTGTTTGCAAGACACAACAAATAAGCACAAACAAACAAACAGCAATTACATGCGTTTATATTATTCAAATCTGCCGTAAATGTAATTAAGCTCTGGAGAGTTGGGCGCAAAATTTATTTCCGCGCTCCAAGGTTGTCGTAAAAAAAATCCGCAATCCTTTTTTACTGTTGGCTTTGCTTATCGGTACTAATTTCTTTGGAGGAATGGAGGCCTGCGTAACGCATATAAATTGGCTCATTGCCGTGGGTTCTCGTCCTTGTCTCGGCGCTTCTTGATTTCTTTTTGATAAGCCCCTCCGCCATTTCCGTTTCCATTCGAATTCAGTTAAAGGCTTAAATCCGTGCGGCGAAAGTTCTGCTTTTTCTGTATTTTTTGTTGTATTTTTTTTTGGGGGACACATTAAAAACCAATCAGGCGCATTGTCACATAATCAACCCCCGCTGAGCATCGGAGTTTTCACAGAGCTTACATGCGACAGCGCACAGTGTGCTTTGCTTGCTTGCTTGCTTTTCTTTTTTCACAATCTTTTCTCCGCTCTACGATGATGATGATTATTTTTTATAAGCTCTAGCTGGTCTCCTCCTCCTACCGCCCTCTTCTGGGGTTCATCGTCGTCGTTTGGCGCTATCATGTCACACACTGGGGGACAACTCTTTGCCAGCATAATAGTTTTGCTTATGAAAACAAATTCAATTTCGAAGCTGCTTATGGAAATGTTTATGCAAGACGTGAGAGCAAACTGTGCGCAGCGCGGGGGAAAATTAATGTCACATGACGGAGCGAGCTGGGGAAAAACAGGGGGAAGAAAATGCTGGGCGTGGCAGTGGATGCAACCAGATAAACGGGACAGTGGCAGCAGCAGCAGCATCACAACTCTTGGCATATTTTGCAAGTACAGTTGAGCTCGCTCTCCCAAGTTGACTCGTAACAAATTGAAAATCATTGAACACTCGGGGAAGAAGGAAGGGATGCCACTCTGAGCTGAAAAATATTGTAGCATACATTTAAGCAAATTGCAATTAAGGTGAACGACGACGATATGGCAAGGGGAATACATTTTGTTTGTTTGTTTGCCAGCCATTACCTTGTTCATTGGACCGAGTCTCTCTCGTATCCCATACCCTCCTTTTCCCCATTTCCTGCTGACAAAGTGTGCCAATACGCCACAAAGTATGCAACAATTTGCAGCATAAATACTTTGTGTTCCATCTGCTGCGCCTGCACCTGCACCCTCTCACCCGCTCCCATATGAGCGTGCTTTTATTTGTCTAGCTTTTGGTATCCCCAACCCCACGCAGAGGCTGAGTTTTAATGGATTTCTGTGCAGCCCGCTTTGTGGTTTGGTTCGGCGGTTGAAGTGCATTCTTTGTTGCGGGATCCTTGCATTTTTCTTTACTATTTGTGTCCTTTGTACTGGCACTGTTGCTACCTACCAATACTGTGTTAAATTTCCATCTATATGTTTAGTCCAATTTGTGTGAGGTGGCACAAAACTTTCCCTAATTGCACGAGCCAACAAAGCACTTAATCGCGACACACGTGTCGTATACGTAATCCACACAGCAAACATTTTCTGTATGCAAATGACTGCGGTTGCCGTGGCACACACCGCACACACACACACTAACTTAAAGCTCCATAAAAACGGAAACTAAACTCCAACTTCCGCCGAACCAGCGCACATAATCTAAAATAATTTGTGCGCGCTGAAAATTTACACCTTCTCAATTTTCCAGCGCTCCTTTTCGACGCCTTGCGTGTGAAGCATTTTCCAGCAATTGCATGCAACAATTCTCCCCGAAATGCTTAAACATTTTAGGCACGCTTCCGACGACGTCCAGCCAGGGGCGTGAATTTTCTTTTCTTCTAGTTTTGGGAGGCGAGAACCCAAGACTTGATTTTTCGGGGGCGGGAGGAAGGCAGCTGCTGCTGGGGAGGTTCGTCGCCAATTTCGCTTGGCCGGCGTCACGCATACGCCCCGTGTTGTTGCGGGAAATCAGCAAGGGCCGTGAATTTCAATTAAAGCCCAAGCAGCGGGAGCACTTGAAATGAATAACTATGTTTTCCGTTTGGGCAGTGTGGGTGTTTGTGTGTGTGATGGCTCCGGGCCATCCAAGGTTTATTCCAAATTGCTATTGACTATAGGTTATATCGAAGGCTATTCGTCGGGGGCGGCGCAACCCAAACATTTTCGTTTCGCAAACCGCTCGAAGGATTATTTACTTATGGCCAAGTTGGGTGAATTGAAACGTGCCTAGCCAAGTTTTAGCAACTTGGCGAACGCTTTAAAGTTCGCACGTAAATTCCGAAACGGATTAAGGGCTTGTGAAAAATTGCATCAATTTGTGTTGTTTGCATGGGACGCGAAAAAACAGCGGACGACAGCTCTAAACTAACAGCCAGCATAAAAATGCCAGATTTTTTTCCCCCCTCTATACACAAACACACGCACACCTACTTGTTTTCGCTCCAACTCCTCTTATTCTGTGTCCAACTTCTCACCGCGTGTGTGTGTGTGTGTGTGTGGTGGATTTTTATGCAAATATTTTGTCAGGTAGCCCCAAAGTCCAAAATAAACTAGCCATGACGAGGACGACTCCCTGATGCGCAGCCACAGCTACCGGGGGATCGGGCTTTTGGGGATCCTGTGCTTTGGCTTTGCCAGAGCCTCGACGTGGTGCAACTAAATCAAATCAAAACAAAAACAGCTCTCCGCAATGGCAACTCGGGCAGCCATTTTGGCATAACAAGCGTCATGCAAATTGAGTTCCTGACGTGACTCCGTCACACTTGGCGAGTGATTAGGTTAGTGTGTGTGTTTGGCCAAGAAACTTGCCTCTCTTCTCATCTCTTTGACACTTTTAAAGTTAATTAAATGCCTGCGCGACGGCGACATTTTGACAGTTTTGTGCCTTTAATTGCAAGACGTCGTCAGATTTTTCGGGTATCCTATATCCCGAAGCTGTCGTCGTCGTCGTTTATTGTTTGCTCGCAGGAAAACGGGGCTAATACCAATACGAGAGGGAGCCATTTTCATGGCGCGCACAATGCAACCGCCATAAACCAAAACACAAAATGGAGGCCAGAACAGAGCCGGGAATAGCGTAGACCAATTTGGGCTCCATTTTTTTTCTGCGCCTGCCAAAAATTCAATTAACTTACATGCCAAACCACAGCCGGCATAAAAGAGGCACCACCATCATCGCCATGGCCATTGGCCTGGTGTCCCTCCTCCTCTTTCCATTGCCTTGATCCGGCGAAACCGCAGCCAAAAATGTCAGAGCTCGCCGTCCCTCTCTTGGTCTTTGGGATGTCTGTGAGTCGGGTTCTCGTGGTTTCCGTTTTCGGTTTTTGGGGTTTTGATATTAGAACGGGTTTTTGGGATTGCTCGCTCGCTCTCCTTCACATGCAATAACAACAATAACATAATATATATATTTTTGTTTAGCTTTAAGTTTTAGTTTTTAAAAACCCAAACAAACAATTGGCACAACTAAAAAAAAAACATATTTTTTCGTTTTTTTGTTTCTTTTCATTTATGATTTGCTTTCGCTTATTGTTGTTGTTGCATGCTTTGAATAACAAAACAAAAAAAAAAACACCAACACATGCACTAAAAACGCAGTTACACCACAACATCAACAACAACACCACCACCAACAACAACAACAACAACAAGTACCCCAACAACAACAACAACAACATCACCACCATCACCATCAACTAGTTGCCCCAGCTCAATCGCACAATCTTTGTCAATTTAAAGAGCCACCGCTATTGGGACCAGGCGCTGCCTTCCCGCCATTCGGAGCACCCGAATATCATACCACCACACCGGAGAACTGGAAGGGTGCCGCCATCCATCCCACCGGGCTGATGAAGGAGCCAGCCGGAGTTGTGCCCGGACGCAATGCTCCGGTGGCCTTCACACCGCAGGGCCAGGCTCAGGTGAGTATTTTTTTGTTTTTTTCCAGGAAGATGGAGAGGAGTAAAGGAGGATGAGTCTGCTGCTCAGTTGTAATTGTTATTCGTCCACAATTTCTGATCAAGACACTTTCGCCTTGCTTTCACTCTCTCCTACTGACCAAGACAGAATTTTAATTAACTCTCTTGTTGCTCTTCCTTCCTTCTGCTGCTGCTGCTGCTCCTTCAGGGTGCCGTCATGATGGTGTACGGCCTGGACCACGACACTTCCAACACGGATAAGCTCTTCAATTTGGTTTGCCTGTACGGCAATGTGGCAAGGGTAAGTTTGACCTTATATTTAAATGCTATTTAAATGGAAAACCCAAAAGATAAACAATATTCGATTTCATTTTGGTGGAGGCGTAATATGAAAGTAATTAAATATTTGACAACTGCCAATTGCAAGGCATTTAATCTGAAAAACATTTCCGATTTACGGTTAATAAATTTCCTCGAATTTGAATTGATTTATAGTATTTATGAGTGAGAATTCAAGTGGGAAAAGTGTATTTATTTTCCTTGTATGAAAACTGTCATATGCATTTTCCTAGAACAGAATTTATTTACTGGAAATATTTTAAAATACATTTCTATTCCATTAAATTGCTAAGTATGAAGCTCTTGGTCTTGTAACCTTTATGAAATTCAAGGAAAAACTTTTTTTAGGAATTGTAAAGCTTGTGAAATTATTTTAAATAAAATAGTTTTAGACATTTTCATTCCAAAAAACTGTTAGAAATGGATAACCTTTTTTGTTAACCTTCAGAAAACTCTACCAAAATGTCCTCTTAGCCTTAGCAAATTCCCACTAAAGCTTTTATAAGGATACTATATTTTTTAAAGCAAACTAAAGGATCCTTTTTAAATGCTCCTTAAACTCCCTGCACTTGAGGGAACACACTTGCCGTTATCATGCGGCCAAACCCTTTGCTTATGACCTTTTCGATTGTAAAAGAAAGCGAAGAAAGAAATATCCTCAACTTGCACTTAGCCAGAAAGCTGACAAAAAAAAAAAAGAAAAGAAAAGCCAGAGAAAAAAAAGGAAAATACGCATTTCATTGCCGCCGTTTTGCTTGGTCGTCAGCACTTTGCGGCGAAATATCGGCAGCAAGGAGAAAAAAAAGGTGTTTTTGAGTGGGGAATGCCAACCGCAAGAGCACTTTGTGTCTCTGTGTGCCATTTGTAAATGCGCAAATAAAACGAAAGGCAATAAAAGGACGAGGCCCGGCCAGACCAGGCCAGGACACACCAAAGTCCAACCTCATAGTAGGCCAGAAACACATTTAGATAAAGCGTTTTAGATTAATATCCAGCCTTCGCCGCCATGTGGGGACGACGCCTCGGGACAGCAATCAGTGCAGCGTCATCAGGTTTATCTATAGGGGCGTGGCACCACCTACTTTCCGAGTTTCCTTTAGCTTCTCGAGCTCCTCTTTATACCTTCTAACAATGGCAAAACGATTGGCAAGTCGCTTGTAAATCAAAACACGATGACGACCAAAAAAGAATCCATTAAAAAGCTGTGGCGAATGGCAATACGGAATGTGTGCTCATTGTTAGTCGCCGGGTCCGAAAGGAGGAAGCTCGCTTGGGGAGCATTTAGCGTAGTGCTGCGCAGCTATCTAAACGCTGGCCAAAAAGGAGAGAAGGAAGAAGAAAAAACCCACCTACCACCCGGAAAAACCGTTCGTTGAACAATGAGCTTGTGGGTAGCGACGCCACCACCGTTAACATCAAAGTCAAATGCTAAAAACTTCTTTGGCGTGTGCCAGAGCTTTCACTTTATTGCTACTATGATTCCGCCCTCCCCCACACTTTCCACATGTGTGTGTGTGTCCTTTGACAATTGCGCTCACCAAGGACAACGTGGAGGGTTCACTTCGCTCCCTGGCATGTTTTGTTTAGTTTATGTCTGTGATAAAGCGAGTCAAGGCGACTGGAGACCGCACGAACCACTTTCACTGCACACTGAAGTAGCCGGGCGAGCTGAAGAGTGGGTGGGGAGTATTACAAGAGGGGGTTATTCAATTTTTCAAAGGAGTCGTAGAACGCTTAGGAATTTCAATGTGCCCCATATACGAAGGCAAATGCCAGCAAATCATTTTAATGCTGCTTAGCTTTGTTTTCAAGTCGAAGAACTTGTAAAAGTAAGGTTTTTAATTCACTTTCAATCAAGAGTTTATTCTCTTAGTATTTATTTATTTAGGATTTTATATTTAAAAGGATCATTAACTAGATTTTATCTATAGAAACTGCCTTTAGCTATTGCCCTCCATTGGTCTATAATTTAACTGACCTTTGGCTTATTTTATTTCAGCCAATACACCATTCTACCATTACTATTATTTCTATTTCCTTTTTTTTTTGGTTTTGGTGGGAGCTCAGAGGGATGGCACGATAATTCAAGGCGCGGCTGCTTCCATTTAGTTCAGTTTCTTTCTGGGTCTGACACTTGCAATGGCGGTTAAAGGATGGCCAGAGGGCGGAATTTATTGCAAACTTCCTGTCCGAGACGGAAACTACTCATTAGCCATTAAAAATGATTATGCGCAAACATTATTCACTGGCCAAGCCGCAAACACACATTTCTTCAGTCCGGCTTTCGACTTTTTGCGGCTTAAAGCCACCCCTTTTCACCTCTCTCTCTTGCTCCGTTGTTCTGGCCAAGTTTTTCCTCTATCGCACATAGCATCCTTCTTCGGGCCGCTGCGCCTGTCGCTATGCAACTGTGAGTGAGTCGTCAGGGTGAAAAAGCCAGGACACAGGACTAGGACTGTGTGTGTGTGTGTGTGTGTGTTGCTGCCTCATTATAAAGTCGATGGTTGTGCACACTGATGTGCGATGTGCGATGCGTGATGCGTGGGGGCGGGTTTGTTTGGATGTATCTGCGAGTTTATGGGCCGACATGTTTGAATTGCGAATGAGAAATTGATGGCCACTCAATCAAAGTGCCGTTGCATGGGCTTCCTTGCCAGCCTCTTTTCCTCTTTTTCAATGGCCGTCGCCCCAAGTATGGGTGTTAATGGGATTCCCATGGGGCGCACCATTCGGGATCATGTCTTCCCTAAATTATGGATAAACGAAGCTTCAACCCGCCCTCACCCCAACATTCCAAGAGGCGGAAATACAAAGTATTCGATTTCAATAAGCCCAAGGATGGAAGGGTGGTGGAGTAGGCCCTAATAGGGTTTGGCATAAACATTCGGCTGGAAGGAATTTGATTAACCTGCCGAAAAATTGTGCCGGCTGAAATTTGAAGCTGGCCCCCGACAAGCTGTCAAGTATGTCCGGACTTTTTCAGCACCCAAGGGAAATTCGTTTGAATTGTTTGCATTTTGTGATTTGTAATTTGCACCGATACACTCTTGCTAAAAAGCAGTTTCCTTCCGTCGTCCTTCCGCCCGAATGAAGCAATCTGGTTAATTATTTCTGGAGCCAGGGCGATGAAGTCATCAGCAAATTGATTTTCAGGTTAAATGGCATGACAAAAATAGGCCAAAAGAGGGTGAGAGGGGGCAACAGCAGGGAAGCCGGAAAGGACCTCCTTTGGCAGAGGTTACGAAAAAGCCAACAAATGAAGAGTGTGTCTTTAAAGGCCAACAAAATACACGCACTCAATTAAATACGCATTAAAAAAACATTTGTATACAATGTGGGGTGGAAATCAGGTTTGGAAAATTGTGGAAAATGTAAGGGGGGGGATTGGTGCTGATGGGAAGCATAGGTCAGCCATTGCTGCTGCTCTTTTGGAGCTGAGCGCGTGAGCAATTAAATCAAATGGCAGAGCAGACACCATGCCACATTGCACAACAAAGCGATCTCTGGCAAGAGGGTCGCATTTTAATTAACGCAGCGCCGCAGCAGGGAAGCAGCATGGATGGAGCAGGGATGGCCACTGGTAAGGACACGCGGGAGCAGAGCACAGCTCATTAGACACGCACCAAATGTTTGGCGCTGCTGCGGCGGCGGCGGCTACGGCGGCTGTTGACCAGCAGTGACCATTCAGCCATGAATCGCTCTTTGATTTGGCCAAAGGGAGAAGGCCCAAACGGGTCCCCAGTTTTATTTGCAGGATATGTATGTCTACACCTATAGAAAATTGCTAGAAATAATATTTATCCAGTTTTAGTAAATGAATAATAGAAGCTTTCATTAGCTCTTCACAATATTGATTAGAAATTGTTTTTTCCTCACAAAAATCGATTTCTTTTCTACATTTCTCTCAGTGTATCTGGCCAGCCTTATGTTTGCATGTTTGTAATTTCATTATCCTTTTGTTTCGAGGGATTTCAGGGGCTATCTGCCCGCTTTCTGCTTGACTGATTTATGGTCTATATTTATTTTTATACATTGTTTTATTTTTATGATTCGTTTCGTGTCTCGGTTTGGGTTTTGCGCTTGCCTATTCGATAAGCCTCATTTAGTTTTTATTTACTTTTTGGCCAAACCCTCCTCCCTCCTACCCTTCATACTCCATTCAGGCGTATTCATTTTGATTGCGTCCCACTTTAGGCACACACCATAAGCTCTGCAGTATCCCATCCACTATATGTATATACCATACATAGTTGAATGCGGATGTGTGTCCAGGGGGTTTGGTTTAATTATAAGCAAATTGTTTGCCCCATTTACACATGAACTGCCATTTCTCCCCTCCGTTTACCGCGGTGCCTTTTGTTTATTTTGAAATGTTTGCCAGCTCATTATACGTATAATTAGTTATACGAAGGACATGGGTGATATTTAAGAATTGAATAATTTATAAAATGGGCTTATAATTTTTCCAACAAGGTCTCTCGGGTCCCGCTTAAGGAAAATGAGTATCGATTTTGTACCCCCCACTTGTTGTTTACTGGTTAAAAACTGTGGAAACCACATGGCCTCGAATGGCTGGCAATTAGCTCTCTTGGCCAAGTGCCTGCAGTCATAATTAAGTTCGTTGTGACCCGAGACTGCACCAAAACCAAGCAGAAAATAAATCAAATTCGAATGGCAAAATTTTAGCAAATGCCAAGCTCACTTCTCAATGCGTGCAAAGAAAAAAGACCGACATCAATACGCCAAATTAAGGCATTTGGAAAACCAAATTGCAGCGACCGTCGCCCAATTTGGACAGGTGCTCAGTCTCTGCTTCTCTATTTCGCAGTTGCAATTGCGAAAACTCGTTTCGGTTCCCCTACTCTCCTTCTCCTCTGGGTTCAATGCCTGCCTACTGCCAGTGGCCAGCAAATTGATTTGAAAATGAACCACCAACCAACGGAACGAGTGAATGAACGTAGGAATTATCCAAGCCAAGCATTTCCATTGATTTTTCACTTTCTCTCCCGGCTCTTCGAGTTCGTTTTGTAATTATTGTTTGGGGAATTATTATAGTCAATTACGTTTATAACTCGGCAGATAGCTTTCAGCGAGGTGTGAAAGATTTCCAGTGGAAAAGCCAAGGCAATGGTTCATAAATTTCTATATTTTGTAACATGTGAATAGAAATAAATTGGGTTTTATAACGCAAAAAATATGCATAAACTTTACTCTTGAAAGAGAAAGGGAAATCATTTCATATATTTATATGATATATTCGAGGACTACTTCACGTCTCCGTCCTAATTCAATTAAAATCACTTGAAACTTTTTCGCTATTTCAGCAATAAACATTTCCCAGACTCTCATAGTAATACAAGAAAGTGTGTCTCGAATGACATTTCGAATATTTGTCAAGTGAAAATCACAGGCAATGATAATATTTTCAGCTATTTCTGGCGATTGGGCACGTACACGACTGACTTTGATGACCCAATAAGGGGGCGGAAAAGAGGCTATAACAATTGTGGGTGGAGGTGTAAACTCATATGTGACAAGGAGCAGCTAACACACACACAACACCTACATATACAATGAATTGAGAATTAAGGACGCCATTCTGTTATATAATTGCGTTTGAAGGAAATTTTAAATTGAATTGAATGAAAATGCGAAGCTCGGTTCCGCTCTGCTCCGCTTTGGTTTGCTCTGACTGGTTCCTCCGCCCGGCAGATTGGGTTAAAAGCAACAGAGATGACAGCGACAAGAGAATTCAATCAACCTGGCTCCCCTCGAGGGAGGGACACAAGGGTCACTGGGTAAACGAGGGTTCGAGGTGCCATAAAATGGGGCTGCTGGGGCATATAATTTAATTACACATTGAGGTGGACACACATGAAACCAGATTTAATGGATGCTGTGAATGTGAGAAATATGACATATTATCAGCCATTTAACCCTCCTCCCTCTCTCTTCTTTTACAGATCAAGTTCTTGAAGACCAAAGAGGGCACTGCCATGGTGCAAATGGGCGACTCCGTGGCCGTTGAGCGCTGCGTACAGCACTTGAACAACATTCCCGTGGGCACTGGAGGCAAAATACAGATTGCATTCTCTAAGCAGAATTTCCTATCCGAGGTGATCAACCCGTTCTTGCTGCCCGATCACACACCCAGCTTCAAGGAGTACACCGGCTCCAAGAACAATCGTTTCCTATCGCCGGCCCAGGCCAGCAAGAATCGCATTCAACCACCGAGCAAGGTATATAGTTAATCTTGTATTTGATATATAAAATTATAAAAATTTATTATTTCCTTACAGATTTTGCACTTTTTCAACACACCACCCGGCTTGACCGAGGACCAGCTTATTGGAATCTTCAATATCAAGGATGTGCCCGCCACATCGGTGCGTCTGTTCCCCTTGAAGACCGAGCGCTCGTCGTCTGGACTGATTGAATTCCCCAACATCTCGCAGGCTGTGTTGGCCATCATGAAGTGCAACCATCTGCCTATTGAGGGTAAAGGTGAGATAGTGTTGTGTTTAAGTGTTATTCAAAAGAAAAGAATGTCAAATTTATATGTGGCCACCACCGAAAACCAAACCAAACCAACCAACCAACCAATCCACTTACCAACCTTCCTCCAAACACAAAATTCTCTCTCTTTTTCGACCCAGAACACGCCCCAATAAGTAGGCAACATAAATTTTATTTTCTCCCCTCCCCCCCCAAAAAAAAACTCCCTGGCGAACGGCAGCCAAAAGTTTGGCAGCTATTTTCCATGGCCTTTCGACTTTTGCCTGTTTGCCTGTTGTGCAGCAGCAGCAGCCGCCGCACATCAAATTCACACCCCCCTAAAGCCCACACCCCAGCAGCACCACTTGTCCCCGCAAATGCAAACTTTAACCTCTTCTTGTTTCTTTGCCTGCTCTTTTTGTGGCCAAAAGAACTTTTTAGTTACGCGCTGGCTGCGTTGAAAATTTTAATTTGGTAATTAAGATAAACAATTTCAGTTTGCAGTTATTCATAAATGGGTTGCACCCCCTCCTGATTTCTAGCCTGCAGCAGCAGCGTTTCGCTAACAATTAGTCCCAAGACTCGCCCGGCTCGGTTACAAATGGGTTGACGACCGATATAAACTTTTCGCATAAATATTTCAGCAGCCGGAGAGCAGCCAGTCAGCCAGCCCCAAGCGAATTATACAATTCCGCAAATTTCACAAATTCCTAGGTTTTTATGAGCTTGTTTACATGGGCAATAGTCATTTGGCATTCAGAAGTAAAATAAGCGGCGCTTGACATTGGTGGCACACCTCAAAAACCGCTTATCGAAAAATAGCCACCTAGGGGGAGGGTTTTCTATGCTCATGCATAAATTGTCGATACATCCTCGATTTGATTTGGAGGGATGCTGCTCTCTCGAGAGCATGGTAAATAGTAATTAAAAGTGTAAAGAAGGCAAACACTGGCACATGCAAATGCACAAATGCAAATGGGGAATGCAAGTGCATGTCAATGTGGGTGTGGAATTATGGTGCAAGCAAATATATTGCTCTTTTCCCCACTTCCCATGTGTATATTATTATACACAAGGACTTGTGCCTTCTAGCTGAGTAAACCATTCAGTCAGGCTTTAATTCAGGCTCTTATTGCATTGCCCAATTCGTTTTAAATCCCTTACATCCTTCCCTTCCCTTCAACTCCTTGATTTCCTCACAATCGAAGACTCTTCCCTGCCGAATCAATAAAACGAAATTCAAGAATATACAACACTTATACACTATACTACACAATATATATAACTTAATGAATATATACATATATATCCCATATGTACTTGTTTTTGTGAAGGAACCACATTGCTTTATATACGTTTTATGCCTGCTCTCTCCCCTCTCCCCGCACAGGCACCAAGTTCCCCTTCATCATGAAGCTGTGCTTCTCCTCGTCAAAGAGCATGAATGGGGCCTGGAACAATGCGACCAGCGAGGGCATGGTCGAGAAGGAGAACGAGGTCGATGCCAAGGTGGACATCTACAATTGAGATTTGATAACGATTGTGTAAGCAAGCAAACGACACCTGGCTTAACTATCACACAATGCAGAACCATATATAAACCCAAGAAGAAGAAGAGAAGAAGAAGGAGCACTCGTCGACTGACAAGCAGGATAACAAACAAGAAATATGCAAAAAGACAACAACACAAACATAACAACTAGCAGCTTTTCCAACTGATCGACTAACTTGATAATGGCTTACACATTCGACTCAACATCATCCACAGGAAAGAACGCTGAGGCAGCAGCTGATTATGGCAAATTGATTACAATTAATTGAGGCAACAGCAGATAAACAACTAATTAACAATTAACGTAACACATTAGAGGGCAACAGTGCGACAGATATAGCCCACGCATCGCAAACGCATGTAACTTTTCTACGAGCCATTTTTGCATAGACAATTCAGCTAATTAGTATGACAATGCAGCCTATGTACGATATGGCCTCGTTTAAAAGCCACACAGGATAATGATGAACACACCCTTTCATTACATGCCCCTCCCCCCATTATATTACATGCGTTTGTGTGGCAACAACAACAACAACACAACATGCAAAATAATACAAAAGTAAACAAATTGAATTGTTATTAATTGTTATAAAGACGATGAAAATGCATTAGGACTTTCTCACACAAAAAAAGCAAAAAGAAATCCCAACCAATTGTAAACTATGTAATGCTTAATTGATACAAAAATCACATACAAAAATAAACCAAAAACAAGAATAAAAATGATTAAAATTTAAAAGGAAACCATATGTTAGAGTAACAACTAAAGAAATTCTGATCTGACCTTCCCATCCTACAATTCCCTCTCCCCCCTGGCAGACTTCTTCTGTATAGTTATATATTGTAATATGATTTGGAATTCGGATACAAGTATATTTATGCAACAAAAAGAAACATTTCTTTGGACAATATTTCGACAAGTATTCGGGCGTGAGAAAAAGTCTTAACAAAACAAAAAATATTTATTGTGTAAATTAAAACCAAAAATTTAGCAATTTTAAATAAAATTTATTAATTTTAGTTATGCAAAACAAAAAAAAAACAATTAAAAACAAACGAAACAAACTTGCAGCAGCAGTTGATTTTAAAATTTCTTACTTTAACGAATATTTAAAACAATGGATAGATGGAATAAAAACTTGCACAAGCCAATGTTTTTACTAATTAAAACAAAACCAGAAAAAGACAAGACGATAAACATAATTTTTGTGCTTAATTTACAAAGTTAAAAAAAAAGGCATAAATTTATATGTAATGAGCTGTATTTGTATTTACATTAAAATTAATTTTAATTTACACTAAATGTAAAAAGCGAAAATAACTAAACAAAAAAATACACAAGCTAAGGCAAAGAAAACCTACAAGAAAATATTTAGTTAAGTGCAAATCGAAGAGAGGAGAGCATCTAGAGCATAGTTAAGGCAGCATCGTTCAGCAAAACATACAACAAACAAAACAACATATTTTTGAGGCGTTTTAAAAATTAGAATTGACAGAGCCAAACATTTCAGAACTCCAAGTGAAGGTTAGCAAAGCAAAGCTACTACTAAAGATGTTGATGGTGAGATGAGGGCGTATTGCAAATGCGTATAAAAGTAGGCGAAATGAAATGAAAAATACGAGAAAAAGAATTCAAATATCAGCAATAAAGCAACGGCAACAACACCATATCAAAGGCGTATGTTAGATTACCTATAATAATAACGAAATTAACTTGTATAAAAAAAGATGCAAATAATGTAAAACGATCAGAAGAGATAACCCATGAGTTCACTTGAGTTGTATGATTTTATATATATATCTATATATATATATTTACATTTGTTTTTATTGCAAATCAACGAATACACACAAGACACAAACACACACCAACACACACAATGCTAGGGCCGCTAAACGAATTTTCTTCACTTTTCCCCCCGTAGTTCACCGCTTGGCACACGATCGTTAGTTAGGCTTCCTCCCATTCATATATCATATTCATTTAATGCTATCAACTAAACTAAAACTAAACCTACATATATGTGCAATTTGGGCTTTAAACGATTCTTCGTTTGTTCTATTTAATTTATTGCAATTTTTCTCATTTCGTCAACTAGTTCGTGTAATTATTTCAAGTGTCTTTTACAGTCTTAGTTATTATGTAAATTGTTTTTTAATCCTTAACTTGTAAAATATATATTCATGCTAAAGATTAAGTATTATTGTACTTAATTTTAAATGATTAACATGGTTTAATGACACACGAAACGGGAACTAATTATACATACAACAAAGGCAAACAAAATCTCGTTAATAATTAATTATTAAATATTAATTTGTAAGAAGATAAAGCAACAACGATCTTGAAGCTCCTAATTAGATCATAAAACGGATCAATAAACCAACTACTATAATACAAAATAATATATAATATAAAATACATAACAAAAACAAACACTTGGTAGCTATTTAATTTACAAATATACAAATATACGAATTATAATCAGAATTTTTATTGTTAATAGTTTTATTCGACACACTTGACACAATTGATTTTGTGTTTATATTTTTCATATCTTTAATTTTGTATGCGTAAAATAGAGACAAAAAAATATATATTTATATATTTGGCTGGTGGCGACTTCAGTTTGAATATATAAAGACGTAAACATATATATTTATGCGTGTATTTATATATGATTTGTTTTATTTAATATTTAAATTCTGTTGTTATTTTTTAAGCCCAGAGTTTGTAACATGCGCGCTCATTTTTTGATATAAATATATATATATATAATTATGTAAAAGTATCTGGCAGTTGCATTTTTATTTTAATCATCTAAACACAAACACACCATCATCATTCATCATTATTGTCGAAGTTTTTTGTACATTCGAATAGGAATTGAAGCGTGACAAATAACTTGCTTTTGAAACTATAGAGAACTCGCAGAGCATTTAAGGCAAAGTGTATAGTTTAAAAGCATCCTAAACGCACATCCGATTCATTTACTTTATGTGGGCATAAACAAACAGCAACTAATGAAGAGTAAACCCTAACTAAATTATATGCCAAATAATCTATAGTGTTATCCTGAATTTTGAACATATCAAAATTTTGAAGAATTCAAATGTAAGGCCCTGAGTTTTGAAATTATACAATTTAGGCATTATTAATGTGTAAAACAAGAAAAGACCCCCAAGCACTTTTCAATATTAAAAACAAAAAAAAAAAACTGCAAACAGACATAATCCCTACAATCCTTAACGAAAACGCCAATAAGAATTGTATGTAAGCATATAGAAAAAAACAAAAATAAATAACAAAACCCAAGGATAGATTTAAGACTTAATTTATAATAAGAAATTACTTTAAAGTATTATTTAAAAGAAAAACACAATTTAAAAAAAAAAAATGGAAAACAATTCGATAACTAGGAAAATTTTTTGATTTCCTTTGCTCTTTTTTTCTGAAATCGAAATTTAGCAAGAAAATAAACTCTAGTAGCAATTATTTAAATTTAATTTAAACGCATTCGAAATTAAAATTAAAATAAAAGCAAAAATTAGACAAATTTCGTTAAAACAATTTTGTTGAATTGAAACAATCAATTGAAGAGATAAATCATTTAAAGGTTGTCCAACGACAGAGACAAGAAGGCCTTCCGAGTCCGCTGGCTTTTGCTAATTGCTAATTGCTAATTGCATGTCCTTTTACGTAGCAGTTCCTTTATTATGCGTTCCCCATTACGTTTTGAATTACGTTTGCAATTGCCTCGTAGTTTTCAACTCCAATAAAAATCAAATGCGCATGGGGTACAAGGTAGGTGCTGTGTTTATAAGAAACAACTCACGATTTTCTTGAACTTGTCCACACACCCAATCCAAAATTGGTTCATTATTCGAAGCCCCAGCCCGGGGGCAGGTCCCATTTGGAGTGTAATTTCAACCGATATTCGTCTTAGTTCGTCTTATCGAGACACCAAAAACTACACAAATGGACCAGTTTATTCAATACTGAATTGACAACCACCAAGAATCAAAACAAAAACGAGAAACAAAATGAAATTATTAAAATTTGTGAAACCGTCCAATTATGAAACAGCAACAACAGCGACACAGACCACACCACACCACACACACACACACACGAACGAGTTGAAAACTGGGTACATTAAATACTTTAACGAGAGAGGGAGAACCGCCTGAACGAACTGTGTGGTTCTTAAGTGTCTTTCACTGAGCTTTATAACTGCGACGAGCGCCTTGGGTTCTCGCTTTTCAACCTATTTTTCCCCCCGTTTTCCATGCCGCAACCCACATGCTTGCCAATTTGCTAGAAAAACCAACCACACACACACACGGATCCAGTGAGAGAAAGGAGAGCTATAGCTTTTGTGTTTGCTACAATCGTTTTCTATTTGAATTTGATACAACCCCGAGAGGCAAATGAGAAACACTAAACAAAACAAGAACTTTGTACACCGAAACGAATTCATAATAATCTAGAGTGCATGTGCATAACGAGAACATAGAATAACAACTAAAGGATAAACAAAAACCAAACAAAAAAAAAAAAAACAAAACAAAAAAACTATGAAATCGAAAAACGAAAAAATAAATGAACAAAAATGAGCAACTACAACTATATTCTTATAGGCTTATAGTTTATACTTACATACACACATACAAATACTTATATACATAAATATTTATATATAAATATATATATATATATATATATCAGAGATCATAACATACATAGTAATACGACACCACATCCACATACATACATAACATATATACATTCGAGTATAGTTTTTAATAAAAAAAGAAAGGTCGGCGCGAGTCAATTTTAAAAGCAAGAAAAAATTCTTAAAAATACCAAATTACCAAGCGCAAATATTAACAAAAAGTTACTTTGACGTTATGAGTAATGCAATTACATGTATGAGAAGCGAATACTTACATAATTACACCACAAATTACACCCACTACACACACTGGGCACAGACACCGACACAGACAAGCAAACAGACACTAATACAGACACAGACACAGAGACAGACCAAGGACGAAGGCAAGTTTTAGAGGGGCGTAGAAAAGAACGGACAACTGCATAGTGTAGTCGTACGCGTAATTACTGGTGATAATTTTGAAAAAAAAAAATCTAATACAAATCAAATAATATGTGTAATTTTAACATAAGCAAATGCTAGCACGTTTGAATTTCCAATAGATGTCTATTATGTATTTAGAGGCGTATACATACATACATATATATTGACGATTCCTTATATAATACACGCGTACATACCTAAAATGTCTTAGTGTGTGTGCAAGTGCAAGTGCAAGTATGTAAAAACGTAAGCCGCAAATGCAACGTAAACGTAACGAAATTGCAAGAAACGAAATTCGATGAGATTTGAGAGACTCAGAGAGAGAGAGTAAGATCATTTCCCCACGTACAAGTATTAGTGAATTAGGCCTGGCATTTAGCAGACATTATTTAGAACCAACCCTCCTCATGCAGCCCCCCTCCAGCAGAAACACAGGAGTCCTAAATAATTTATTAGCAATTTAAAGCTTCCACATCTGCGGACAATTGCATACTTTCAGGCTCCAAGTAGTATGTATGTGTGTGTGTGTGTTTAGTACGCACACATGCCTGCGCTCACACGCACACAAGAACACCCGTTAATACCACCCTGAAAACCACTAATAATAGCAATGTTAATATGCAATTTAGTTGAATTTTCGTTGATCGGTTTAGTTTAGTTTAAGTTAAGTGTTTAGTTTAGTTAGTTCATACTTTAATTTAGGGTTTGCTGTGCGGCGGAAATGGGTTCGAACACCGACTCGCACCCACACACTTACACTTGTTAAACTAATCCACCGAATAAATACAATCTCATTAACTAAATTTTAATAACGCAATTAACGCATAATACCAACAACAACAACAACAGCAACTCTGCCGTTTCCGCCTCGAGAGAGCCTTGCGTTTGTTTTTTTTTTTTTTGGTTTACGGGGAGCGCGTACAAACGGGCTGTACTCATTATTTTCATTTACCAAGGACGCGACTGTGCTGAGTGCGCGCGCTGTAGCATACTTGTAGGCAGGGCCTAAAAAAAAGGGAAAAGTCAATACCGAATACCGCGAATAGAGACAAATTTAAATCGAACCTTCTAAGTGTTTAGTTGAAGAATCGTTAATGCATTCGTATATGCTAATAAGTGTAATAAGCTAGTAATGTGGAATAGCGAAGCAAAGTAATTTACACCTAATACTACCCACAACATAACACACTCTAAGCGGAGATCTGATGGTGAATGGAAATCCACTCCCCTTTAGAGCCCCGAATATCTACATTAAAACATACATTACACACACTCGGACAACACAAGAAACTTATACATTATATACTATAAGTACACTTATAACATAACATACATTACATACATACACATTCATACGCATACAGAGATACTTACATACATATGTATAAGCCTATGGAATGCAACATAATCACAGCAAAAAGTCCTTTTGATAACCGATTTTTGACTACTTATGTACGAACTACTTTTTTGACAACAATTCTGCGTCGCATTTACACACAGGCACACAGACATAATCAGCCGTTATATATACTTATATATATATAATATATGTGCAGCCGATACATGCATACAGACATATATATACATACATATATACGTTTATATCGATATATACACACATCAATCTTATCAGAAGAAGGAAATACCAAAATACCGAGCGAAAATATCATGTACTGCACAGCAAACAAATTTGCGAAAATAAAAAACGAAAAACAGGAAACACACAGAAACACAATTGATACACACACACACAGATACACAATACAAACACACACACACACACTAACACACACACAAGTAATGAACCACAAATTATTAGCAACTATTCAAAACTACTATTTATTAAATGTTGTTAGCATCAGAAAACCAAGAATAAGCAAATTATGAAATCGCTGTAGTGCAAATGCAAAACGAAAACAAAAGAAAACCTAAGAACAAACGATAAAATTGTAAAACCATCATTGAAACTTATTTATTTTTAAGCCAAGCGTTGCAGCAAACAAAAAATATTAAAAACAAAGAAAAATACAAAAAAACGAAAACGAAAACAAAAACCAAAAAACAAGCAAAAAAATCTCAAACATTAAAAACAGCGCCACTTGAACAAGAAATCCACAACAAAAACAAACAGTACATAAAATACAATTCTTTGATCTTAAAAACCAGAAAACCCAAAAACGAAAAACGAAAAACAAATAAATGAAAAACTTAAACTTATACACAAAAAGAAACTCGAATGAAAACTTTGTTTTATTTAACAACAATTAGTCCCCGCAGTTACAACGACAACTTTTTTAACATTTTTCTCTCAACTCTCTCTCTCACCACTAATACTCACCTATACTTTTGTCATATTTGCAGTTTAGCAACAACAACAACAAGAACAACAACAACAACAACCAAAAACAACAACAACATCAACAACACTCCAACAAGTACAGCTAGTACAGTTAGTGGCAACATCTACAATACCAACAACAACAACAACAACAACAAGCACCTCAGTCACCAAGTCCCCTCAAAAAAAAAATCAAAATAATAAAAAAACAACAACCAATCAACAAGAACAAACAACAACAACAACAACAAGTACAGAACCAACAACAATATCAATAAGTTTAGAGAGCATAAATCGCAAAGCATTAAAACAAAACAGAGCTCCATTTCAATTAATTTCATTGCATAAACTA